AAACCGTGCATTCGTATAATTTCACTCTTGCTTCTATAGTATGATTTCCATAATTTGGCTCTTCTGCCCATGATAATATTTCCCTCAGCGTGAACCTACATTTTGCAGTTCGGACTCTTATCATATCGTTATAACCTCCTATATCATTAATTAAATTCCCTAGGTATGAATATTTGGTGCATTTTTTGATTACTTGGTTGCCTATTAATATCTCCTTTTCTATTCTTTCCTTGTTTGTGAATTTTATAACCATTGTATTTGTTTTGTTTATATTAAATTCTATTATTCTTTTTGATTCAGCTAATCTGGAGCATGACTGAGCGATTTTTGTTACTGTTTTATAATCTCCAATTCCTGGAATATCGTCCATATATATAATCATTGTCATCTTCTAAAACTACAGACCATCCGCTGACCGCTGTGGAGACCTGCGCCGGGCCTCGAATTTGGCGCACGTCTCCACTGCGGACAGAGCTTCATACTTGAACATCCCCGCGGTCCCGTGCGCATATCCGGCGGAACTGCGCGTCTCATCCGCGCGCAGCGCTTAGGTTCAACAGCAAAGCTGTGCCACGCAATCTTGTATCATGTCTCTCTGGATCAGCGTACGCATACATATGCGCCTCTAACAATAAGCCTTTCTGTGGGTCAATATCGCGTATACTTTAGATAGTGGGACCTAGTAGCTGAAAATACATAACGTTAAACTACATTTTATTTTTGGCCTGGCATATTATACTGCTGGCATATTAATTGCTGGATCATGCTTGTATGTTCATTGTGGCGACCACATTTCACGTTTCAGTTAGCGTCAGTTTTTCCATTTCCCCGGAAAATGGGTGAAAATCTACTATCAGTGCACAACTCGCAATGTTTGAGACTATGAAGAAGACAGGCGTGCGGTTATTAATATGATTTATTAAAAGACCACATTGTAATTAAATAAGGCAAACGCGGACACCAGTAGAGGGTCTGGTGGCTGGACACCGGCTTCGTCACATTAATTATGTAACAAGAGCCGCAGAGCGTCTGGGCTTATCTGAGGTCTGTTGCTACGGTTATAAACGTAACATTTAAGTCGTGCGTAGTGACACCTTTGTTAGGCGCACCCTAACCCTAACCCTATTTTTTTAAATATTTAATTGTTGTAAAAATTATTGTTGTTATGAAATTGTTGTAAATAAATCATGTAAATATTTGCGTTAATTGGAAAAAAATAGTTAAATGGATAAAGATAGAAAAATACAGAAAACAGGTAAATATTAAAAGATCTGATGGGATTCGATTCAAGGACCTTTGAGCCGTAATCCTGTGCTGTAGCCGTTGGGCTATCAAGGCTTATGAGCTTTCTAGATTATGGATGTGCAATGAATATGAGAACACTGTGACATCATTGAGGCAGTTCAGGAATCCATGTTTAACCCTCCTCTTGAGGGTCAAAAGGTTATCAGACACTTACTCTTCGCACGTCAGTGGAAAGCACATTTCATGGTCCTTTCAATAAAATAATAAAAATGGTAAGTCAGCGCTGAAACAAAAAAGTTTTTCACTCTGTTCGTTAGGCCACGTCCTCAGAAAATGTCTGATATCTACCTTTCCCCACTGCCCTTTGACCTGTGACCTCCAATTTCGCACTGGTGATGGGTTTCCTGCCCATCACACTATACACCGAATATTAAGAGCTAGGTCGAGCCGTTCAGATTTGTGCCGCAATTCCGTATTTCCTCCTATACCTCAAGTTAAGGGGGAAATATTCCCCCTATGTTTACACATCTTGATCTTTGACCCTTGACCCCCCAAATTGATCCTCCCGAGTCCTTTTCACGATCCCCCCCCCCACGTCCCGAATATCGTGACCGTACGTCGAGCGGTTAAGATTTGTGTCCAACTGTTGACTCACGCACGGACGGACGCACGGACGGCCGGACACACGCACGAACAATCATGCGATTCTACAAGCTGCATCTGACTACGTCAGATGAGCTAATAATAGGCACATTACCAGTACATGCTAGTTAGTTAGTAGATTTCACTTTACGTTGCATGCCAACTAATTAATAGCTTTCACTTTACGTTTCATGCGAATGAACATAAATAAATCAATTGTTGCAAACGAAACAGTCGTATGTAACAATGGATGTTAAATAAAAATATGGCTTATTGGCTTGTGGTCATTGGTTATTTGCGCGAGTTTTGATGTAATATGGTCACGTGTTGCCATTCGATGCACTTTCGCCGATAGATCTATGTCGCTGAGTCTGGTTGGAGAATCTATGCAGAGAAGCTATTTCACACCAAGGCGCTCGCTATTGATAATGTGTCAAACTACTGCTGAGTACGTGCTCTCTGTCTTAGATATTTAATTTGAGCAAAACCAACAACAGTTTATGTGGCAGAGGGTTAGGAAAGGTCAGCACGACTAGGCGCCATATAATTTTAAATATAAGAGATGCTCTATATTAAATATATAATTTCTACAAAATGCGATTTTATTTGTTTGGTAAGGGCGTGACTGACGGCTACACATGTCATGTAGGACCCACTGGCCAATAGCCTAAACAGGTTCTTTTCGCCCACAGATCGATTTCTGCTGAGTAATGATGAGAGAGAGGCGTAGCCCCCAGTCAACGTACGCTGTATAGCATGGGTTAGCTCACGGATGATTTCTATTTATTGACGGAATATTTACATTTATTCTACTTTTATGATATTTTTCTACAAAATTAGCTGCCTCCTTGCCTCCCCCACACGCTACGGCTTTGTTCAGAGAAATTTCGTCACTGGTAAATTGTATTCGCATACGACTGCTGGGGGTGAGATTTGTGAATTATTGACTGATCTTCATGGTAGTAGTATGCGTAGCTAATAGTATAATGTACGCTGGTAGCTAGTAATCATTGCCTATGTTGTTACCAGGGGCTTGTCAGAATGATCATAGATAGCATAGGTACGACTAACATGCATTTAAAATCGCATAACCTTTACGTGACACTTCATTTCAGATTGATGACTTCATAACTACTTAACAACATGATAACTGAATAGAGTCCATGAATCACGTAACCCCTCATACATTCTGCGCATAGACACTGGTGTTCCGTAATTAACCTATCATCTTAGTGGAGAGGCGAACTCCAGTTAAGATTTCTTAACCGGACTATCTACGGTCTATTTATTTTAACGACTGTTTAAACAGCTCGCTTCACCTGTGATAAATTATCACGCTATAGTCGATTACTTACCGGCCACCAGGGGCCTTAGCGAGATATCTATCACTCGAAACATCAGCCGCTACACGACAGTACGCAGCAGACGATGCACCATGAAGTGAGATAAATGCCGCGATATGGAGTTGAAGGACACCGTGTCTAGAGAAGGTTCGTACGTACAAAACGCCGGTGAGTGAAATTCGTGAGCCGGTAGTCTGATTAGAACACCGGCGTGAAATCGGCAGATAGGTTGCTCAGGTAAATCGCTTTAGTCGTAGTAATCAGTTAAATCAGTAATCAAAATTAAAAGTAGTAACCAGTAGTGATTAAACTATATTAGCGATTATTACCGTTGTGATTGTGAACTTGTTGCACGTGTTGGCCAGTGTGGCATGCGTACACGAGAAATCGCATGTTTAGCACTTGTGCTCGCGAGGACGCACGTGAATACGTGCGCACGTGTGTGCGTAGGTTACAGACTATATTTGATTGCGCGAGTGCACGCATATCGCTATCATGGTTTCCTATTTGACAGAAATCATGATGCTTAGAGATCAACAGTTATCTGACAAGTGTCCAATGCCGTGTGACCAGGAATCTGGCAGATTTAGTTTATCAGCAGGAGCGCTCAGTCACGAAGCTACGGTAAGAATATATCAGTGGTGAATAATGACAAATAATGGCAAATAATAAATAATTAGATTAGCATGCTATATATCAAAATGTACCTTATTTTGTATAGCCAAAAACGAAAAGTGGCATAACTCAATACCCGTTAACCCGCAAGGAGCGCTGTACGCCACCAGGTGGCGCTGTCCAATTGGCACTATATCAGAACGTCTTCAGGACCTATTCTAGTACGCGTGTGCAAAGTTTCACAATTCTGACCAAAGGTGTCTGATAACAGATCGATTTCATGGTCGTAAAGCCGCGCGTGCGTTTAATATCATATAGATATATTGAGAGCATGATAAACATTAAGGGTTAGGGTTAGGGTGCAGGTGCAGTTGCTAGAGAGCAAGCTAGGTGAGCATAGTCAACTATACTACGCGTATAATAGTTTTCCTTTTCGTTGACATGTTTTTTGTCGATAACCTGTTTCCATTCACAAAAAATACCTTCGGGCATACTGTGTGTGTGTAGGTGTGTGTGTGTGTGTGTGTGTGTGTGTGCGTGCGTGCGTGCGTGTGCGTGTGCGTGTGCGTGTGCGTGTGCGTGTGCGTGTGCGTGTGCGCGTTTGCGTACCGTCGTCGCGCGTGCCGTGTGCGTCGAGCGTGCGTGGGTTGCGTTAATCGCGGTGCTGTGCAGTGGTGCGTGCCTGCCCCGTGGTGTGTGTGTGCTGTGTGTGTGTGTGTTGTGTGTGAGTGCTGGTGATGGGTGCGTGCGTGTGAGCTGTGTGCGTGTGCGTCGTGCGTGTGCGTGCAGTGTGCGGGCGCTGTGCGTGTGCTGGCGTGTGCGCGTGGCGTGCGCGTGCGTACGAGGCGTGCGTGCGGTGCGTAACGTGGCGTGGCGTGTGTGCAGTGCGTGCGTGCGTGGTGCTCAAGAAGTGGTGTGTGTGTGTGTGTGTGTGTGTGTGTGTGTGTGGGTGTGTGTGTGTGTGTGTGTGTGTGTGTGTGTGTGTGTGTGTGTGTGTGTTGAATACGCTCGTTAAAGACCGCGAGCCGCGACATTTTACGGGCCAGATAAATTAAACATGAGCGAATTCTCACAGGCTGCGTTGCTGAAAGGAAGGAACGTCTGGAGTTACGATGATGTCTTAGACCTGATTGGATTAGGCCAATTCCACTGGATTCTGCTATTGACCATGGGCTGGGCAGTAAGCGCCTGTGCTGTCGATGTACGTGAATTTAAATAGCTTAAATCTTTGTAATTATGCAGCATTAATAATAAGCTGCATAATTACAAACATACATTATTTAGTTACAAATGAGTCTGTAAAAAATTCGATCAGCGTAAATTTTTCACTTGCGCTTAAAACTGAATTTTTTCACTCGTCATCCGGTTCATGAACTCGAAATTGATTAACACTCAAGCATAAATCTCTGACGAGAAAGAATTGCTCTAGTTATGCGTGCATATCAACGCTCGGTATATACATCATGCGGCAGTATGAACGTTTAATTATACAATATATTCACTGTGTATTACACGTAGTTATGAGGACTGACAGTAATTGCAATTGAATCCCATCTTACGCAGATGATGTGTGTCTCCTTTTTGCTTCCATCTGCAGAGTGTGAACTACGTCTCTCCTCCCAAAACAAGGGATGGCTGAATGCGTCTATTTTTATAGGTGAATCTCTCCATAGCGTAGGGGGATGTGGGCTGTTACTGATAACATGTAAATTTTGGTGTAACAGGGAGATACGCAATTAGATGTTACATCACGCTCACACGTAAACAAATGTTAAATATAGGTGATGAACAGTTACGCGATTAAAATAAATACGCTCTTTTTCGGTAAATAGCATATTCCTTTTCTGTCTGTGACATCATGCGTTCTATCCACTTGCAGGCATGATGATAGGAAGCTACACATTAGCCGCACTTGCAGACATCAAAGGTCGTCGTAAGATGCTGATTTGCTGTCTGATTTTCAACGCGGTGTGCGCTGCGCTCTCCAGCTTTGCTCACTCCTACTGGATGCTACTGGTTATGCGATTCCTATGTGGCGCTGCGGTAGGAGGATCTCAGCCGATAGTTTGGTCGTACTTCGTCGAGTTTCAGCCTCGTCAGAAGCGCGGCCGCATGCTCAGTCTGATGGCAGCCTTTTGGACGATTGGCAACATACTTGTAGCTCTGCTAGCCTGGGCCATCATCCCACACACGGACATGGGCCACTTCAGCGCGTACACGTATTCCAGCTGGCGCGTCTTTATTCTCGTCTGCACGGTGCCGCTCCTTACGTCGGCCGTCATGCTGATATTTCTGCCGGAGAGCCCAAAGTGGCTGCTGGAGAACGGCAAGGAGGAGCAGTGCCTAGCCATCCTCGCGAAGATGTACGCAGTCAACCACGGTACGGAGCAAGGTTTCGACGTGGCGCACGTCCAGCCCTCGCACGTCATCAGCGACGTCAGCCACGACACGTCGACGATGCCCCACCTCGGCTCGATCGGTCGCTTGGTGTTGAAGTGCAGAGAGCTGCTCTCTGCCCCCCTGCTGCGACGTACAATCGTATTCACGTGGGTGAACTTTGCGCTCGCTTTTGGTTACTACGGTCTCTGGATGTGGTTCCCGGAGCTGTTCAAGAGGCTAGAAGAGTCGGGGAGAGACGATGTATCTGTGTGCACGAGTACGCTGGCGGGACTGAACTCCAGCGGTGTGCCGGATTTCGGAGACTGCTCGGAGGTGGGTGGCAGTGACGAGTTGTACATCAACAGTCTGCTCGTGGCCGCCTCGAACTTCCCGGGAAGCGTGATCTCTGTCCTGTTCATAGACACGCTGGGCAGGCGGTGGATGCTCGCTGGAAGCATGGTCACCAGCAGCGTCCTAGTGTTTTTCATATGGTTCATCAAGAACAAGCTGGAAAATTTAATCTTATCCTGTCTGTTTGCCTGCGTTTCCGTCTTGGCGTGGAATGCAATTGCTGTGTTGGGTCCAGAGATGTTCCCAACTCGTGTGCGCGCCACTGCCTACGGATTTTGCTTGGTATTTGCGCGAGTAGGTGCAGTGTTGGGTAATTACGTGTTTGGGCAACTAATAGATGTAAATTGCACTGTGCCAGTATTACTAGTCGTTGGCTTGCTTTGTGCTGGTGGGTTTTCTGGTCTGCTTTTACCCGATACCATAGGGGCAGCCTTACACTAGGATTCAGTTAATATCACACGATCTACATCGCAACAATCATGACCAATCCGTATTGTTGGAACGTTTCCGTTTATATGACGGAAACTTCAATGCGCAATACCGATGAAACGGCAGTAGACAGTATCGTGGCTTCATCTTCATGGCTTAGTTGCACAGTCTATAGAATGCGTAGAACCATATCCGTGTGGTCTAGAGAGGTATGTAACTATATGCCCATGCATGACCAGATATGAGTGAGGAGGCTGCATTGACTTATAATAGTCAACCTGCGTATAGTCACAGTAGAGAAATTCCACGAAACTTCATGGAACAGGTCTAGTACAGACGTAGTTAGCGGATCTTACCTCGAAGGTATTCTTTGGTGAACGGTAGTAACTGAAAAAAGTAATAGGTAACGGTAGTTAATTTCAGCGTTAGCACGGGTTGACTGCGCGCACGCTCAGTTTAGCTTGTTACGTCACTCAGCAGATAAGACGTCAATGACGGTCAAACAACGGTAGGCCGATAGATTTATTAGGATTTATACTATATTATTGTAATAGCAGAAGAAGAAGAAGAAGAAGAAGAAGAAGAAGAAGAATATTAGCAGGTGATTGAATAGGCAGCAGAAGCTGCAACTGGCGTATAATCGAATCTGGGTATCCGATTATAATTTAATTGAGCCATTTTATCAGCATTGAAAGTGTAAACATTCTTATGTCTGCCTTCCCATACATTATAGATAAATTATTCTGGGAAACTTGTAATCAGACAGTGAAGTGCAGATCAAACACACAATTGCTGACACAATTTCACACGCTACTGTACTTCCATATAACCCAAACAAGGCTATGCGCAAGCGTATATCAAAATTTATCCCGCGCCTGGCCCCAGATTGCGTACAGACACAGTTTAGCGCGGGCTAACTTAATTAGTACGGGATAACTTAGCACGCTTCGAAGCGGGCCTGGCCCACCTCCATTCGTGGGGCTAACTGAAGGAGAGTATGCCCTCCAGCGCGTAGCGCTGTAGCGCGAAGCGTCGTCAATTTTGGTCGTATAGTATAACACCTGGCAGAAAAGATTAGCGGTGAGGAAAAGCGCCATAGGTAAAAAATGAAGAAAACGCATTACCTTGTGCTCGGTAAGCATTTGTAAGACCTTGTTGCTGTATTGAACTGCACCTAGTGGGGTTAATCAATAATAGTTGTAGGCCTATATATATCAGTTTATTTATTCCAAGTGTAATACCAATCTACACGGGTAGTACGAGAGAAATCAAAAATTAAAAATAACTCAGCATTTTGACACAGCGATTGCAAGTGAGATAATGCTGGTATGACAATTTCATAATATTTTACTCGTGACAATGGTACACTACTGAGAAACTGATTACTTTGGTAATTATAAATAGCAATCAATTGTTTAATACATCGTGATGCCGTGCAGTATCGTAATGCTCTTAAACAGGTCATGCCGGAAAGCATGTTATTGATTAGTGAACGATAACTCCACTCCAACATCTTTCCACTCAAAACTGCCGGACACATTCACATAATTCTAATATGGCCAAGTTTCCACCAATCAAAGCGTGCCATTTCACAACAGCCAGTATTATTTTCATCGTCATCATTATTTTCATCTATAAAATCATTTCACATTATTTTCTTCGCGAGTCTTCGAGATATTATTAAATATTCAAGTCAAGAACATCACGAATTGAACACAGACAATCACCTGTAACGGTTTTACTCGGTTGCGGTTGCGGTTTACTCGGTTTGCGTTTATCGTATTTGTTATTCTGTCCTCGCGGGGCTTGTTACCGTTATCAGTTTATGTATATTATATTCAGTTATATTCAGTATATATTTAGTTATATTCAGTATATATTCAGTTTTTGTGATCAGCGCCTTGCGTTATAAAGAGCTCTATGTCGCTGCGAAATTATCAATCAATATTATATTGCAATTACTGTGTTATCACAATTTAGTTGAATGAATTATGATGTACTTTTATTCATAATTTATTGTTGATATATTTTTATAGAAAATTATAATGAATTGAGGGAATTCTAGCCGTGACATTATGTGTAAATAGTGGTATTCTTATCCGTACAGGTCAATTAATTCTCTGACAAAGGCATACTAGAATTGTGACATGCGTTGTACATAAAGTGTTATATCGATCATAGGTCATATATATATATATATATATATATATATATATATATATATATATATATTATAGTCTACTATTCAGTCTCTATTATCTACTCTTGATATATATATATATGGGGCTGGCTGTTTCTCTCTGTTATTATTTAGTATTTCCATTCAAGTTGAGTTACAGACTCGATCGCTGGTACCAGTATACCCATCAAATTACCTTTTTAGTTATCAAATTATTTACCTTTTTACTATGTTTCTGAATTCTATATCTCTACCTGTTGCCTTACCTGCATGGCGACTTATCATATTCGGCACTGTTAATAAATAAATAAATAAATAAATATATATATTACCGGGCTTGTCTGGAAAAGAGCGCGCATCTTCGTGCCAATACAATGTAGTTCATAGTTCATTGTACATTGTATCACTAATGCCGAATTCCTCGATTGTAGAGTGTGTATACGCATGTTTTGTGACGCCCTTGTTAAATTCAGTGTCTGAATAAAGTAAGCCGTCGCAGACGGAATTTTTCTTAACACGCACACTGTCGACGACTATGTTCATATTGCGTTACACCTGGATTAGTCCGGGAGCCAAACCCTGATTTTGGGCGGAACCCTGCACTGAGAGTTAAAGTTTTTTTCTTTGCTGATTCTTGTAGACTAGGTGTTGGTCTTCACTTTCTAGGTGGATGACCACCCGTCACCCTTGAGCAATTTTCTGTATTAACCCTTTTGTGTTGAGAGCTTCAACTCAAAAAATTAGGGGTGGGAAAAACAAAAAGTCTACTGATCTTGTTGTTTTTTAAAGCCTAATGGATCATGTGACCACTTCAAAAATGTTTGGTATTTTAAGAGCTCTTTCTATGCATAGTTAAATATGAGGTCACTAGAGGGTCAAAAGGTCACCAATTTTTTGACATTCTTCGAAATCTTGAAATATTGCTTTTTAGACACACCTGCCTTGGCAAGAACGGTCTTTAATAGGGCATTTTTACCCTAAAATTTAGTTTCAAGGAGATGCCTGCCTATCCAATTTAAACCACCCATGTTCAATATGTTGAATGGTTGACAACCGTATTTACAAAAGAAAACAAGTGATGTGCTAAATAGCTGTTTATTCATTACCCAAAGTTGATAACGCTTACAGTAATTTCACAGATCTGTCGATCTAGAGCAACCATTGCTCACCACATATTGCAATGGTGAAAGTCAAGAGGCTTAGTCTAGATTGTGGCATTATCCTTTGCCAAACTTACAGGGTCAAAGCGTCATACAAGTACACAGTTAAACTGCCAGTTCAGTTGTTTCGATGAACTGACTGGCAGTCATTTTAAAGTAAACCAGGGCCATAAGGTAGCCTCCATCTATATTTCGTTTTAAAAAAATAAATTCTCATTACACTACTTCGATGCTCTATGTCAAAATGTTGGCACTCGTCTTACTATTGTCTCCAGGCGAAAATAAGAATATATGGTAGATCCATTTTTAGGTAAAAGTGTTTCAGTTCCAACTCTAACACATCAGCCCTCTCTAGAACAATCGGATGCGGTAGCAAGCAGCAGAAGACAGTGCGTTGATCCGCCAAGAAAGCCTAGAGATGTGCATTGACCCCATGGACGCTGCAAACACCCAGAAGGTTAGTGAATATCGTAAATAACTGGGCAAATTGGCAAAGCTGAGCGCTATCAATGTGCCAGAACTCCGGTTCATATTTCGAAAAGAAACAGATGGAGGAATTTGAACAAAATGGGCCAGACGCGGTTTTAGTGAAACCATCCAAGAAGGTTATTTTACATTGACTGTGGACAGCAGGAAGTAATCCATTCGCGCGACACAAGATTACGGACTTAAATGCCATTTATCACGGCGTCTTGTGTCTGCTATCAGTTCGCGGAAGATTTGATATCAAGCATGTTCTCATCCATGAACTTGCCGCCAGTGCCAACATCGCATGGTTTACATGAATTGGCATCGAGGATTGCCACAGAAAGTCACAGCTAAACAGAAGAGTTCTCAAGTAGAAGCTTATCGCAGTAGAAAAACAGGCCATGACTGATGTGATGGGTTGATAGACGGTCTGCTTACTGCTTTAGGTGATCCACTGGGCTCGAGGCTGGTCAGTGAAGATTATGTTTCAAATTGTGAAGGAACGTATTCAAGTACTCTTGAAGGTTATGACGGATGACCTGTATTCGACCATTACAGAGATTTAGCACGAAATCTGCTGGCAGGGGGAGGAAGGCAGGCCGCGCCAGTAGAGTCTTCCCATCTCAGCTTGAAGACAACCCTGCCAGCCAGGAAAGTTGGACTGACTGTACACTTTGAAAACAAGAAACCAGATCACTCCAGATCATCTATGATGAACTGTCTCGGACAGGATCTTCCACCACAAACAGCCACGGCATACACAAGCTAGTTATCACAGCAGAAAGCAACACTCCACTTGAAATTCAAAATGATGAGATCAGAAGACGTCAATCGCCTCACACGACCCATTGAGGAAGCGCGACAATATTCATTTGTCCAACAGGTAATTGCGGTGCAGTAGAGACAGGGAATCCATTCCAGTGATGTCTGATGACACAGATGTGTTTGTCCTACTAGTCTCTATTATTGATCGACAGTGGACCTCAAAGTCCCAGTCATCATGGAATCACCAGTGGAACGGTAGGACGGTGATTTGACATTGGTGAGACAGCAAAAAAAACACAGATGATCGCTCAAAATCTCCTTCAAGCTCCGACCCTTTTCAGTGTTGCCGTTTACACGGTTTGCCACATATTACTTCGGAATTGGCTAAAGAAACTGTAGATCAGAGTCCTTGGCGGCTTGGCACACCTTGTCTGCAGTTGGCTGACGTAACTGCTGAATTTTGCTGATCGTCTACAACCAAGCCACAACATTCGTAATCAGCTTGCTATGGCAAGAAAAATGCTGTGGACATGTCACAGGTTCGCATTCAGCTCTGGGTGTGCGGCTGCTAAAATGGCAGGGCTCACCTCGTCTCCCAAACTATGTTACATGCACTACGACTGAAGCATTTCTTAAAAAATGTAAAACGTTGCAAACCACTTACCAGCCTTCTTTGGCGCATCACTCAGGAAAACATCCCCCTCTGTTTGGACCCAGGAGGAATTTTTGG